CAAATCAGTGAAATTTCACTGAAAGAATCTATTAGTTTTAAGGGCTATTTCATTCCGGTGATATTTCAAAAACATGCATCTTATATACGTGAGACAAAATAACAATATCATAATCAATAATGAATGAAATATAAGAGCAAGAAACAAAATATAAATATTTTCATTAAAAATCAATACACGTTTCATCAATTTTCAGTAACAGCTACTGTCCGCTTGATCAGCGACATTTTTCATTAATTTGATTTAAGGGAGCAGACGCAGAACCTCCGCAAAATACCTTCGTCGTGCAAAAACATCGCGCATATTCCTTTCAAGGTAGTCGAGATTAAATAAGAATCAACGAGACGAACAAAAAAGCGCCAACGAGACTGCACCATTTCCGGCGTCCCGTAAATTTATATCGCTCGCGTGAAAATTTACAGGCACGCACGACTATTCCAGCAGGCTGCATATTTTTTTTCCCTCCAATCGGGCCATTGTCTGTGTACGATAACGCCGAGAACATATCGACGCATCGATCTTTTGCTCGTCCGTTTATTACACGATAAAATGAAACAATATGTACGACGAAAATATCCGTTACTACCCCTTGTCGACGTTTCTGCGCCCACTTTATATAAAGCAATTTTAGTCAATGTCATCAGCTAATCTCATCAACGTTCGCTAGTCACGACTATCGCATCGCATTGTCATTAACGAAGAATCGCATTTCCAGTACATATGTTACTGTCAAAATTCCCGTTACTTCTCTCGTTCCAGCTGTAAACCTTCTAGTAAACATCAACATCGCGCTACCTCACAGGAGCAATTTTAGGAAACTCATTACTACTACACTTCACATGTTGGCTTATCTAGTTTCTATGCCTCATAAAGGATCATAAAGGTAGCTCTTAACGCGTTACGGTCGTACTATTGTCGTTCGTATGTGCTATCCGGTAATATAACCCAAGCCCGACGCCCGAGAAAATTTTTCATCGACAGTGCTAAAGTGCTCGTTTTACCACTCCCGACGGGTTTACCATTCTAATTCCTGAGCATACCGAGTTGTTATTAGATAGAGGAGATAAAGATAATTCAGCCAGTCGCACGTTTGCGAGAATCTCGAGGATCTCGGCGGACAATAGCGGCTTTTATGATCCATCTCCACGATCGGAATAATGTCGGTGAATATCCTCATCCTTGCACTTTTTCAGCATTGTTCCTCTATGTACTTTTTTCTAATTTATGATCGTCAAGAGCATTAAAATAATGCAAATGTTGAAGGAGAAAATGTCGTTTAACATATGTAAATATATGGAAAGTCTTGCTACGCGAAAAAAGGGTTTGATTGTATTAATAATTTACATGACATCTTGATACGAATTAAATTAAAATAATGAAATAATTGTTACGATAGAAAAGGATCGGCTTGATCTTAACCATTTATCTTTCTTGCTCTTTTACTAATTGATATAAAATCCTAAATTATATCTTATAAGAATAATTATATAAGTATAAAGTATATTTGTAAATCGATAATCTGCGTCACAAATTTGATGTGACATAGTAGATCGGCTAAGTTAATGAAGACATCGTATTTGCTCCCTTTAAACCATCTATCTTTCTAGCATTTACAACTTTTTAACGTTAAAGTTCTAAATTACTCTGTAAATATATATGTAAACTCATATTGCGTAATTACACGGATACCAAAATACTACTAAACGTACTAATAACTTACAGTTAAACGAAACTAATTAACTTTATTAAAAGTTTATTTGCGTCAAAGAGTTTATCCAATTCGGTATCTTAATGTTGAAATTCACAAAAAATAGAAACAGTACAGAAAACATAAAAAAAAATCAAATTTTCAATTTATAGCACCGGTAATATTTCTGAAAATTACATCTTTATTTTTAATATTTTATTTACTTTTTGCAATTTTTGCCTAAACCAATATTTTCTTTCTACCAATTCAAGTAGTATAAAATAAAAATAGAATAATTTTTAATTTTTTTCTACTATTAATTAAGATTCTTTGCAATTTTACATATTTTGTTATAAATAGTATATAAAAATATTAAAGAGAAATTATTTTTTTTTCATTTTCTTTACATACATGTATATTAATAAATAATTAATGAATAATTCATTTTTTATATCATAAATATCAAATTTATCTATTTTTATTAAAGTAAATACATTCAACAATATTGTGTAAAATATCTTTGCTATGAGTTTCAAAAAGGAATTAATATTCTTATATTAATATACAGCTATAAAATCTATGTAAAGATATATATTATATAAATATGATTCCTCTACCTCTCTATTTATCATGTGCAAAAGTGAAATTTAAGCAAGAGAGATTTATATTTATGACCAAACAAGCATCGATATTCCTTTTGTGCTATCAGCAATATTTGATATCAGTAAATACGACGAAAATCTTTCATTGAACTCCTTGTTTCACATTCAATATGCATTTTTATTCTTCTTTTCATCTCCATCGTCACTCTTCTTTACGCTTCTGTCGTTCTTATTTTCATCCAACATTATGTGACAATATTGTTTATGTCGATAACTACAAAGATAAAAGAATGCCTTGTAACTAACGTGATTTTCACTATACAAGGCGATTTTCATGCAATGGCGACAAAAAAGCATTTTGAACAATGCATGATAAATCGCCAACGAAATTTTGCTGCGCGAGTCGTAAAGAAAAAATTTCAGTTGCATGAAAATAAAATGCTAACAGTTTTAAAAATATTCCATTGTTAGAAATACTCTAATATGTATTTAAATAAAATAAAATTAATCGAGTATGTATTTAGTGCGAGAACGAGAGAAGGGATGAATTTGACATAATGGAAAATCTGTTTTAAAAAACAAGCATTTACTCATTAGATTTATATCAAGCTTAAATAATTCTCTCTTCCTTTCTCTCTTTCTCTCTTTCTCTCTGATTTTTTACTTTCTAGGCAGGATATAGACGACGTAATTCTCTAAATTTACATGATGTAAAATATCGACTTGTACCGTTCACGAATCGTTCGAAAATGTCCTGAAAATTACACAGGTTCCATAACTTACGGGTAGATTTATACCTCGCCCGGTGTATATATATGTATATCGAACTACCACCACCGAATCTAATTGGCATACACATTAATACAGGTACATTAACAGAGGCTACGCGATTAATTACCTGTCCGCGATCCAAAATATTCCCTGTACGCTAATAAATTGAATTCACGTAGCGGAGCGGGAGTGGGAGACGCGCAATTAAATAACGGGCAAAAATAAAGCGGCATTGCTTTTTCAGACACGCCATGCGTGGTCCTTTTTTGTTCGCGCGGAAATTTTTTTCACGCCATGACAGCTACGTTACTAAATCTGACCGAAATTACTCGGTGGTTCTGTATTAATCGCGTTGCACGCAGAGCGCGTGCGACCACCGTGATGCTTGCTCTTCCATCACGCTGGACACATCGCGCCGAAATATGCTACGTGGTGTATTACTGTGTCGCGAATGTAATCACAGTATGTGAACATGTAAATCCGAAACAATCCACCACATTAATAGATGCGAGATGCACACGCCGTGACGATGAGGAGATCTGCGCGCCGCCGTTTTTTCTTTTCAATCTACGACTTCACATTCATCTCCGAAATTTTCGAGTAACGTCTATTAATTCCATAATCGAATATTTATGGTTTCTGGCGGACATGAAATGTTGAACCAGAATCTGCTTAGCGTGTATTTCGTAATAAAGCAATGGGCAATTAATTTTCAATATATGAATAGCAGTCAAACGCCTGCTCTAATTAATTCTTCGATATAATCTCCGATATGAGACGCATTTTCTTTATAACACTCTTAGTGATTGCATTTGCAAATTGTTTCTGTCAGCTATTATATACATATTATACTTGAAAATTTAATGCGGCATTATATGAGTTGTTTATCTTCAAAGTAATGCAATTTTAAAATAATAAATATTTTAACATAGCATGAATAATATAAATACGATATACACATTTTGAGATAGATAGAAAAAGGATTTTTATAAAACTTGTTTGATGAATATTTAAAAATTATTTTCTTGATACAAAGATCTGTAAAGATCGAAACAGTTTCAATAATCATTCGAAATATGTATGCTAAATTTTCCATTTCAGAGGTTAATAGTTGCCTAATTGATAATATACTCGTAATTGAAATACGCATACGTACAAGTTTAATACAGAATTATTAATATCCCTGCACCTCATAATATCAGCCACAGTGGATTTAATCATCATGCGTACATGGTTAGTAATAGATAAATTGTTATTCATCTTTTAGTTGTTATCATTTACATAAACATTCATTATACACTACATAATATAGATATATAGTAATTTGTGTGTATAAATGTGAAAAAAAAATTTATTTTCCATCAAAAGAATTAATTGTTTTTTCTTCTTCGAAACTTTATTTTTTCATGAAATATTCAATCTCATAAATTCTATGATTTCGATAAATTTTGAAACATCCGTTGCACTAATATTTGCGATAAATTTTTTAAACATGTTTTAAGTTGCTTAACTTAAATATTTCAATAGTAACATATATCAGTGTTCGTTGTGATTATGATTCCACAATTAGAATGCCACATAAGCAGCTAAAAAAAGGAAAGTTTGCAAGGTTTAGTGTGTTAAACCCTGCGAGAGGAAGAACTACTGGATAGGGACCACTTGATAGCGCTGTTACTTTTAATTAGCGCAGCCACCGCTTTATTTCGGAATAGTTAGCAGAGCGGAGCCATAAACTTAGCAGTGATTTTTACTCATTAAGGTTTCCGGAAAGATTTTCTCTGGAATAATGTAATGCGAAAAGATAAAAATCCTCCTCGGCAACAGACATTGCCTAACGGAGGAGTTATTTTCTATCATTTTTTAAATATAGCTTTCTTTCAAAACCATAATCATTAACGCAGCTGATTATATAATAAAAGAAATTCAAAAATAACACTCACCTTGCGGCTATTTCCATCCTTAGGATTCAGGTCCGAGGCTACTGTTCCGAAAATAGTTGGCTGAAAAAAAAATAATAGTTCGTACATTAAGTATAAAAATGCTCCGAGCGCTCATAATTATTAAAAGTAAATTTATTTGGGTAGTAATAATATTTTAAATAATAATAAAGTTAATGACGCAAAAGAGAGAAAAAAAATCAATCATTTGTGAATATATATTCACAATTCAAAATGTATTTATATTCAATAAATATACATTTATACTTAAATGTTGAATATGGTAATATTATCATAAAAATTTAATTTTTAATTTTTATAAGATAATTAGATAATACGATAATACAAGAATTAATGTATAAAAGCAATCATATATATAACTTTATTAGTATTAAATTATAGATTAAATTACGAATATAGTTAATTTAGATGTAATTGTTCATATTAAATTTAGTATCGCGATAATTCTCTTCTATTTCGATAATTATAAACGGTATTTTCAATCGCAGTTTCGTGTAATTCTTCGCCCCCGGCTAAGAATTCTTATATAAATGTACGCTGGATAATTAATACGGTACTTCATCAACCACGTCGTGAAGCTATTACAACTTGAATTTATCTTTTATCGCTTTCAAAGCAAGTGTAGAAGAGAGTGTTCTCTCTTCCACTCTCTTTCTCTCTCTCTCTCTCTCTCTCTCTTTCTCTCTGCAATCTATGAATTTATATATAATTTTCGCTTTCTAATTTTTACATATAATAATATTGTATAATTATATTGGAAATACGAGGCTGCAAGCGTACATCTTGTTATACGAAACTGTAACTGGTTATACGAAATATTGGTTAACTGTCCGAAACTAACGGCAAGCAAATGTTTTAGGTTTAGAAATTATTGAGATATATACATTATAATGCAGATAGAACTGTAAATTATAAAATATCGTCGTAAAATTACGACGCATCATAAATTCAAGATGACATCTCGTAGTTGCATATGGCGACCATTAATTGTTTTCAACAGATAAAACATATATCGGAGTCATATTATTTAGAATAAATAAAACGGCATTCAACCATAATATATAATAAAGAATAAATAAATGCTTGTTTGTAAATAAAATATACAAAAAATTGTACAAAAAATTATAAAATAGATACAGTAAAAATTGCGAATAAATAACTCGCAACAATCCGTAATTTTCAAAGCAAAAATACATGGTTAACTATAATCTATATTCACTTTTACATGTATCATTTTTCATATATATTTACAAGTTATACAATACACATCCGTTATTTTCATTCGTTATTATTTTAAATAAATTTAAATATTTAACTGCTAATTGGAGACGTGATAAATTTAAAAGTTATAATCAAAACGTTTTATTTAAAAAATGCTTAACTGTCTGATATATAAAAATGCTTAACTGAATGATATATAATACGTTATAATATAACGTTTTTAGCTATAATATAAAATATATTTGAATTTAATACAGTATAAGCGGTTTCATCTGCTTGTAATATGCTCAAACAGTCGCTAGAGTAATGATAATGCTAATTTCCTGAAAATTTTATCACATACGTCAACCCGACTATTTGGTCGTGGTCGAATCATCTCGCAAAGTTAATTTCGATAAATTATTGCATCCGATCCCATTAGACAATTTAACGCGCCACATATTTTGCCACGATTACCACTCACAAATTTTACCGTCGAATTACATTGGCAACAAACTGTCGACTGTTACTACTCGCTTAATTTCAGATCGGCCAAACCACGGTCAATATTTTATAAGGCTTAATGAAAACTGTCAACGAGACGACAGCACTGAAAAATAAAGCGGGTTTATTCCCCTCCGACGATACGGCTGGTCGTTCTTCTCAAGTTTTAATGCATCGTCCGTTGCAAGGAAATTAAATCGCTTATACAAAGTGACACTTTGAGTTTCTTCGTATAAATTTCTTGGATATCCGTGTGTGCCCGTATACTCGTGAATTATATGACGATAAAAAAGAATATCGCGCACTACCTCCGCTACCATCTTGTATCAATTTGCACTCGCAACAATAAACGACGATTTTTATTGCTAGACGATGAAAATTGTACTCATAAATTTGTTTTGTAGGTTTAATTCCATAAAACTGTATCACCCTACGACTATAAATAATTGTGTTTGAATATCAATTTAAGTAGCGAATCACATATACGTAGTGATATGAATTCATATTATTGTAGTCACTTATTTTTTGATAATCACGCTTGTTACGATTCAGTCGCTGATTTTATAATCCAGATAGTCATATTATTCACTTTAAAATCATCTGAAATAATTTCATCTATTTCTATTTCAAAGTAAATATATATCATTTTATAATATATAATACTTATTTCGAGTGGAATGATATTATTTCTATAAACTATATTTATACTTTTCTTGAAAATATTTTGCATCACAAAAATGTGTATATATTTTACACATGTTGTGTACATATTTTATAATATATATAAATTAAAATTTTTTATATAAATTAAATTTAAATAAATTAATTTTTTCTCTTTATATATATATTTCAAATTTAAATCTTATTCTTCTCTGATTCTGCTCAGTATATCACTATACAAATAACAGATATTAAAAAATTATATAAAAAAATTATATAAAATATTATATAAAAATTAGTAAAATTAGATAAAGTATTACATATAATTTCATGACGTTGAAATGTTTCGTGACATCTTGTGCATACATTTAAAACTCACACAGATCGTATTTCTTATTAAAATTCGTATATTTATCTTCGTACGACTGATTCATTATACGTTAATTCCTCGTTTAATTGCACTACTAAGAGTCTCTACGTATTTTTAATTTATTTAGGCTCAATGAGTGTCATTACAATGAAATCCAATTTAAATTTGCAGGGTCTCCTGCATCGCGGAGATAGAAAGTTTGCCTCCACAAAATCGAGTGTCACCGACAGCAGCAGCAGAAACTTCCAATATCTCGCTAAAAAATCGAGCCGACAAAATTACTTGGCTATCCTCACTCGCAAGAAGCTTTTCCTTCGATCGTAGTAAATAATCAAACGAAAAGTGTGACAGCTTATTCTCAAAACTAAATTTATTTCATAGAAACTTCAAGAGAGATTTCTATTGCCACTTTTCTCTATTAAACTTGTGTAAATAATAATTTGTACAGAATTGCACATAATAAAGTAGAATTTAAAAGTTGTACACTGTGTGAAATAAAAAATAAAATTTTATTTTATATTTTAATATTATATTTTCACACACACATTTAAATTCTTTCAATAATTATATATTTATATACTAAAGTAATCTTAATTAAATAGTATCTTTTTAATTTCTATGTATCTTGCAATATTCAAAATTATTGTATAAATATTACTATTTAAATCAAGTAAAACTTATTTCGGTTTATCAGTCAGATAATTTCATATTATACTTCTATAATATATACTTCTAATAAAGTATATCTCTTCGTATGTGTGTGTGTTTGACAAACTTGATTTAAATTGTGCTTACGCACTCAAATTAGATTATAATATTGTTTTACAAAGTTTTACGTTTTACGAAGATCAATAAAATTTTAAATACAAATTTATTTCATATAGCGACCTATAAATATTCGTCATCAAATTGGCAACCGAAAGTTAACATTAGTTAGTTTCAATTTGATATTTTCCAATAACGTAATTTCTTTAAAACATCTTCATGCACTGATCATCAAAATTCAGAAGACGATCACAAAAATTGAGATGATCAAATTCAGGAATAGATCGCTATGGAATTGTCGAGTCTATAAAAACCCACTCGAGGAAATTGTTATCGATATTCAGGTGGATGCGATCAAAATCGAAAAGCTGATAGCAAAAGACAAGAAATGAAGTCGTGACAGGCATGAACTTACACCACCTTACTACGGGAGGCATCAAGAAAACTTTTTTGAAAGTCAAAAGATATCATCCGAAAATGAGAAGAATCCAGGAGAGAATGGCTTAAACTCTATAAAATCGTATAAGGATGTATTAGAATCTGAAAATCAAAGATATACGGAAAGAAATATATTGACATTTAATACCTGAATAACTTTTAATGTAAATAAATATGATCGTCAATTCAGAAATCAGGAACGTTAATATAAAAAAAGATGAAACTGCTTTTATACCGTAAATCCTAAACAGAAAATCTAGTTGAGACGTCAAGAAAAGCCAAAAAAATTGTTTATACAAAATCAAATATATATTCACTAAAATCAAATGTTCGTTAAAGTTTTTAAAGAAAACAGAAAAAATACAAACTTATCTTATGCCAAACGTGCTATGCGAAATCGGAGCATTTTTCCGAAGAAATTGAGAAGATTTTCCGAAATAATTTTAAACTAATGAATCAACCGATAAAAATAAAAAAGATAATCCATACATTTACAAATCTATCGCACTCATAGGAAGAAATTTTAAAGAAAGATAATTATTCGCATGTTAGCAGACATTTTGATTAGAAGAAAAAGTACTAAAAATTATTTTATTTATGTACATCAACAACAAATCATACTAATATTTTAAATAAAATAAAATATGAAAAAAAATATGAAAAATATTATAATAAAGAAAATAATAATAAAAAGAAAATTCTAAAATTAAATTTAAAAATTATAAAAAATGGCAATAAAGTTTTGACACTCAATCAATATAAAAAAAAAGTTCCTAAACAAAAGGTATTTTTAAACAAAACCTTGATAAGATAAAAATTAGAAAGGAGATTAACATAAAAATGATAATTTTAAAAAACAATTAATAATTGACTGATATTCAATTGATATTCAACTGATATTCAATGATACAAAATTATCCAATAATACAAAATTCCCTATGATTTCTCATGAAATCATCAATAAAAATAAAAAATCTCCGATTCGATTATTTACAAAAGTCGAATCAAAGTGTTCTGCTTAAACATAGCGAATAAGAATGAAAATTACTCGGTTAAAAGTACATGTGTACTATTTTAATCGAATACATAGTTTATTAAGATAAATGTGATCAAGCAATACGTGTATCGAAATGAGACATGGACTTTCGATTTTCCGTACCATTTATGAAATCATAATCATGGTTGCATTGTTCTGCATTGATATCAGTGTTATTATTGATAACGTACCACTCATTCCAGTAGATGAAAAAAATAAATTATTTTTTTAAATTATTTGTTAAACGATTTGTTACTATATAATCAAATTAACAACATAATAATTGAATTTTTAACAAAGAAAAAAAAAAAATTCACCAAAATTATCAACATATGTAAATCAAGCTTTAACGTTCAAAATAATTTGTTTAATATCTATATTTATAATTACTTTTACCAATTAGAAAGTTTTTGAGAGAGATAGCATTTTTATAATTTAGATTTTTGCATAATCTTTGTACAATCTGCAAAAAAATCGCGACTAACTGTATACCGATTATTCTTAGAAAAGTTCTAAAATAATTATGAGTGGAGGAAATCGTCATGAAAGAGACGGGATTTGCTTAAGAATAATAAATCTACCCCCACCACTCCAATCGATCACCAGTATATCTATATACGTGATGTGTATATGACATGTTACTGGACAAAATGGCCATCAGCCATAGTAACCACCTGTTCGTGCCTGTGGTATTTGTATTCTGTCTCCTATCGCTACTCGTGCGGGCTGAGGATTCAGACGGTAAGTGCCAAACTTTATATAAATATATGTACGAGTACAATTTTTTATTTTATCTTATTGTTAGATATAATTTAATATATAAAATATCTTATTTCATAAAAGGAGCACAAGAAATATGTGACAGCGCATTTAATCTAATATCAATATTAGCAATATAAGTATAAGATGTCATATGTTTGACATTAAAACTAAATAATAAATTTAGTTAATCACATAATTTTTTAAACAATTACTAAATTCTTTTAAACTCGGAAATTGTTTACAAGAAAAATTATTTTGAAATATGCCATATAAATTATTTAAAATTGTATCAGATATGTATTTATCCGGAATTTATATAATATCATTTCATTTTTAGGGAATATTTTAATATAGATGTAACACATGGCAATATTATAATCATACTCTAACAAATTTTTTGTTAACATTACTTAGGATAAATCTGCACAGACAGATTTTAAAATCAGAAATATATGATCGCACTATTTTGGAGGAAATTATCATAAACGTGTATACGTGAACGAAAAAACTGGCAAAAGGAATACGATCTACTATGACGATCATGGCAATATCGTTTCGCTGTGATTTACGACGTAACAGTTAAACGAAACGACAAGCCAAACAGGAAAAACAAGAATCGATTCAAGTCATGTAACTGATGTAACACGAAATTCTTATCTTTATCCGCCTCAACGGATCGACCAAGGATCGCGTCGTGATTATAGAAGCAAAAGACCGGAAAGAGGATGGCGCGCTTCTCTCGCCTCCACGATAATATTGCCGATGACTTTTTTTCGATGTCTTTTTACGCCATTCTTATCGAGAAGAATCATATCTGATAATATTCATCGGTACAAGAAATTGCCTTCTGATTATTGCGCTGATTTAATTCTTTTGTCTTGTTATATTTGAATCACGTTGAAAATTGCTATTTTCACTCTTGCGTCTTGATCAGATTATTTGTCACAGAGACACGAGACACTATCAGAAAGCATGTTGTCCGTATACGATAAATTGTATAAACGTGTGTTTGCGCTTTATTCCATTCTCTCGGACACCGCAGGAAATGTTCCGTGAGCTAAATATATCTTCCAAGTTTACGGTTTCTCGCTGTCTCTCTAAATGCTTGCTTGCTGATTTCCTTTCTATTTTATTTTCTGTAGCGTTAATTACAGATTTCATCATTACAAAGTTTCATTACAAATTAATCATTATTTTTAGATTTGTTCTTTACGTCTGTTAATATGTAATATATACATAAAAGTATAAAATTGTATATAATGAGAGAAAGAAAAATTAACAATTTAATAATGAGAAATTAACAATTGAAAGATTTTTTTATATAATGAGAGAAAGAGAAATTAACAATTTATTTTTCATTTAACCTCAAGTAAATTTTGTTTTAATAGAACTTTAATTATAACAATTAGTTTAATTATAATTTTAATTATAACAATTAGATATGCAAAAATATTTCATAAATATTAACTGTATATATTTTCGGTATCGGTTTCATAAAAAAAATCAGAATTAGATATATTTAATAAATATACAAGATATAATTATAGATATAAATAAAATCATTACAGCTGTTATTTCGACACAATTATTATTTGACAGTTTTGTCATACGATAAAAAAAAACTCATTTTCTTATTTGATATTCAGTGGTTTCCAGCAAAGATCTCCTCTGACAATTAAGCTTAAGCTCTGTGACGTCAATCTCGCAGATAAACTTAAATCCGCTCGAAATGGACGGCATCGATTTTCTATTTCCGGCGCGGATCGTATCGCGATCGTAACGCGCCGGCCAAAGTCGCGAAGCGTTTCGCATAAAAGTCGTGGCTGAATGCAATCTCCGCGCACCGATAAAAGCTGTCGGATACTTTCAGCTCGTTATATCGATCCGCTCAAAATACGGTGCTAACTTTGTAGATTACAGTTTACTTCGTATCGTAGTCCAGCGTCAAAGGGTAAAGTTGCTTTTTCCCCCCAACAAAAGCTGGCGCACCCAAAATCTAATTCTACCGTCAGTACTGGAGCGTCCAGTATGTCACGAAATAAATTAAATTCCGCCGAAAGTGCTACTCTCATTGGCGAGTTAATGCGGATTATATAATTTCCTTTCCACTCTTAATCTATGAAATCACACGAATTTCGTACAGGAGTGCGTTTTATTAGTGCCATAAATCTTTTTAACGAACTCTACTTTGTCCTGGAAATATTTTGGATATGTATAAATAGTTTGGATATTTATAAATTATATTTCTTAGACTCGTAGTTCTTTCATTTGTATTGTCATTATTCATTTGTCTTTCAATTGAAATTTTAATATTTCAGTATTTTTCTATATTTGCATATAAATAAATAAATAAATATATATATATATATATATATGTATATATATATACATTTATGTTACTAAATTGAATTAATTAATTATTGCATAATTACCCGTAATTATACATAATTATACATAATTACCAATACAAAGGGTTAATGAAATTTCATCAAAATCATTTTTATCAATAACATAAGTAACAAATTATGTAAAATTTTATATTATAAAGTAATTTAATATAAATAATATATATATACTATAATAATATATATAATAATATATATATATACATAAATATTCAATAAATAAGTAATCATGAAATATCGTATATATGTTTATAATATTCATATATTATATCAAACTATATTATTTCAATCATTTTGTTTATGAACATTAAAAAAAACGTTTTAATATATTTCTATCTTCTTTCGATTTTAGTTTATTTTGATTGACTACATTTTTCGCAAATAATTTAGGATTAAAATTAAAATTATAATCGCATATTTCCATAAACGATAAATATTGACAAAAATTAACACAATAATTTAAAACGATATTATTCTATTTTAAACAAAAACATAAATCCTCCGAGTTATACTCATTTCTTTTTATAGTTTTATCAAATATTAATTCTAATTAAAGTCAAATATTCAAGAATAAATATTTTTGTAACATCAAAGTGATAGCCAGAGTTTCTCCGCAAAATAAAATAAATGAAATAGAATACGACGAAAAATGGCCGTGATGATGATACGCGCATCCACAAATGCGCGTGTGTGTCTACAGGAGGGTGTCTGGCACAGTTGACGAATCAAAAGTAAATACCAGCAAATGGACTCTACATGGAAGGGGGGGGGGAAACGACGACGGCTCCCGCTTTACTACGCTTTTATCTTTTCAATTACCATTCGTGCCTCGCTAGCAATTAAATATCGTTAAACCGTGCTCCGATTGCGGCCGAAAGCGTGCAGCTCCGACCTGACTATATGTCGCCGAAGCGACTCGTTTCATTGTACGTTTACGAGCTAGCACGTGTTACGCGAATTTGATTCTCCCCCCCGTTCGCATTTATCGCCTTTACACTTTGCTACGAGAACAATCTTTTTATACTGGCGCCGTATTTAATCAATAAGAGTTTCAAATTATCGAGAAATATTGAAATGCATTAGTCACATTTTTTGAGAAGTTAAAATGAACCAAGTAAATTCTTTGCAGGAAACATGAAACGAGAAAATAATAAATGATGATAAAGATTCGGCAATATATATCAAAGACGAATGATAAATAGCAGAAATGAAATGAGTTAAAAATATAATTGCTACAGTAAGTTGACATTTATTTATTTTCGTTAAAGACATGATTAAAGTTTAATAACCGTTGGCATAATTACTTGGGCATAAAATTAACACATCTTCAAGTTTAACGAAGAAGCTAGGGAACGCATGGCAAGAGACATTAAGTGGCTCTTTGACAAGGACGTCTAGCTCTTCAAGTGGTTCAATTTACTTCATATTATATGTTCGAAGTGTAACCAAGTGCGGTGATTAACCCTCGCCTTAGGACCAAGTATACAGCAACTGTCTTGTTTGCAGATTATACCGACTCGAGACAGCTCGGGAAGAACCACGCGGTTTCAAGGCAGAGAAACAACATTCAGTGGTTACCGAATTACAACTGGAAACCACTCGAGCATTATGGCCTGAGGTATTCCGGTAAACCACAGTCAGTCACTGCGTTGATCCAATACACAAAATGTTTATAGTTTCGAGTTTGTTTCCTGTTCCAAAAATGTTTTGCGTTTGGATTTTAAAAAATTATAATAATATCAAAATATTTAAGATATATCGTTAAAAGATATCTAAAAGATAAGAAACAGTGTAGATATTTTTTTCTCTCTTTAAGAGTTAGATAAATCATAAGATTTGCAGAAATATTTCATTTTTAGAAGAGGCGCGATATATACATGAGAAACAGTAATTATATAAATTATGAGTAAATAAGTCTTTAAACACGAGACAATTTTATGAAATAATAAATTATTGTAAATAAAATTAAATGAAGCCAGCTATTCTCCAACAGCGAAGAATCGACGGAGGAAAAAGCGGGGATGGAATTTACAAAACCCGAGGATCCGGAACAAAGGATAGCAGATCCGTGGATAAAGAAAATGCAAGAGATAAGCCGACAGAAGAGAGAAAAATGGGTACCATACAAAAGAAACGAGAACGAAAAACTCACCCTCGACAATGTCGAAGAAACTACGAGAGCGAACAAACTTAGAGACGATGAATCGATCACGGTGAGAACATAAGGAAATTGCTCTTTTTAGAAGTAACATTAAGTTAACGCACACAAGTATCTTTTGAAGCTTCTATACTTTGATACAATATCCACAAAAAAACTACAAAGACAAATTATTCTTTGATATTTTTCTTATTTCTTGTCTATCATAACATTATAATAGTATATATTACAAACTTTTATAATGCGTTTATGTTATATTAGTAATTTTCATATATTTCAAATATCAACGTTTTCGAAAAGCGCGAAATATAGTAAAAATGTAAAAAAAGCAATATAAACTCACATGAATTCATTTAAAGAAAGCGAATCGTTGCAAGTAAATATAAGAGTATGTCATAAAATTCAATTCAATTTATTAGCAAAATTTAATATTGAATATTTTATTATGTAAAATAAATTATGTGCAATATTGCACAATTAAATATAAGAAATATATATATATTTTATAAGAAATATATTCATATTTCATTATATTAGATCTCCAAAATTAATTTTTAAAAATTAAGTCGCTAATTAATAAAATAATTAGTGTTAATGGATATATTTTTAGAGTATATGCATAACTTATATTCGTAAATCTGTCTCTAAGAAATATGTAGCATACGTCTATGTAAAACTAGTTTTGAAACTCTCATAACTTAAACATCATTCTGGAAAATTTTTAACAGATATAAAATCATAAAAACTTTACGAAAACTTTATAAAAAAATTAAAAAACATAAAAAGCGAGATATATAAGTCTTAAATTCATAAAAATACTTAAATAAAATATTACTATATAATTATTCTTATTCCAGCCATTTGATCCTATTCTAACACTCGCACAATCTTCAATGGATCAAGACAGTGCGAGTGTGAACAATTTCCACGATTCTTCCTTACAATCTACGGATACAAGAACCGATGAACTAAGCCAAAGGCTCGATCTATGGGATGTAAGCGCAGAGAATACATCTGCAGATATCGATAAAAAAAACCCCGTTATGCTTCATCAACGATATAAGGACTATGAAATATCTAACATAGAGGAAGTTCTAGTCGACAAACAGAACGCAATTGCAACGGATTACGAAAGAAGCGAACTTGAGAAGGATCGTTCACTCACCTCTAAAGTAAATTCACAAGAATCTAAAGAATCAAACTCACAAGGATCGAAAAGTCAACATAGATCTAATGATAGAAAAAGATATTCAAACAGCGATGAAAATTTGGATTATAAGAATAACTCTAAAAAATCTCTTGCGAAGGTAAATCCAAGACAATCAAATCTCTCTCAAAATGATAAAGAGGAAAACAGCAAAAACAAGAAACATAATAAGGAGATGGCAAAACCGTCCATGTGGAAGATCAAGGAAGAGAGAGACGATGCGGAAGAGAAGGACACGACAGGGAGATCGCTGAATCATGGAGGATCATATCATCCTGGCAGATGGGGCATGAGCCTTTCGCAGCCGCCTATGGAATTTCGAAAGGACATATTCCGATCGACGCATCGGAAAAATAAGGAACATACTGAAAGCGAGAAAGACAGAAGGCATGATTTGGTTGAGCGATGGGACAATGCCGCCTCACCTCCGAAGAAACTCAAGAATGGAAACATCATGCTGCATCTTACCGCACACTTGGGCACGAAATCGCCGGGCCAAGTTAAAGGATCTTCCTATCATCGATCACTTGCTCATCAAAATCATCAGGATTCTCAAACGGATGACGAGCATAATAAGGAACTAGCTGAGACTTCACACGAACAAATTCCAAAGAATTGTTATCATTTACTATATCCAAAAGTCAATTATCAGAATAACCATCAAACAAATGTTGATCTTAATCATCTGTCAAGAAATCTAAAATTTCTAATGCAAGCTTTGCAATCTTTGCATGAACAAAATGTAGATATACCAATGTCTTGTTGTATACAAATTCCATACGTCTTATTCCGTACCTAAAAAGATCTTCTCAATCTGCTTTATCAAATTGTTTTATTATAAATATTTAACTTAAAATTTATCGTCAAATATTAATCATCTATAAATATTTTAAATAATAAATCTTTCACAGATTATTTCTTCGTAATGTATTGATTAATGATATTTTATCAAATAATAATAATAATTTAATTTTTAGTGAAAATTACATTTGAAATAACATTTAATTAAGCACCAGATTAATAATATTTTTATATGTTTTTATTATCAAGTATTTGGCCAAAATGCAGATATTTAAAAAATATACTCAAATGTGATATCTTTATATTATTCAAAGTAATTTTCTTGTCTATCTGGATATTGTTAAACTATTTCTTTTTCATCTTAAAAACACGCATGACGCAAAATTGTAAAATGTATTTTAATAATTATATTTATGTTGTGTACGATTTTTTATAATTTCCATCAACGTCAAATAAAAGCCAATGAAACAGTTGATCTATTATTAATAATATGAAATTATATATAATGTACACACAGGCGATGTTGGATAAATTCCTTGATAAAGTTATATTATGATAAAGTTATTATAATTGTTCTCAATATTTCTTATTATTATAATTTTTATTATTATAAAAAGTGTAATAAAAAAATGATATAATATTCTATTAAAATTATATAAACAGTAAGAGAAGTCTATGTAATATAATAGGAATTCTAAACACAGTAATAAACCAATATACAGTTGGAATAATAAACAATTTGTCTTGTTCGCTCAATTAACAGAACAGCATGTTGACATTTCGTGATATTGTAATATCTCGTGGTATCTAATTAACATTTTGCATGTAACCGTGCAATTGTACTCCATGTTACCACGTTAATTGTAAGTCGGTCTGATAACATTTTTCGTTTACTTTTTCTTTTGCTATTGCACGTATGTTTCTTCGTCGCACAACCCGTTGCAATGAGACGATATAAAAATTGTCGAGGAAAAACACGCAGGAAATAAAACGATGTTTCACTAGGATAAGCCTGAGAAAAGCATCGTTCTTGAAAAAGAAATTCTCAGACATGACAATAAATTCGTTTGCAACATTAAAAACGCACCACGTCAGGCAGCACCGCAAGTTTTTCATCATGTATGACCTCGTACGAGTATTTATACAAATTCCATATAGCTTTACACAATATTTCTTCTTACTTTTTATAACATTTAATACATCTTCTTGCATTTCTTTACAAGAGCAGTGAATTTTCACAAATATATATGATAGTTGGTGCATGATTCTATTTCTATTAACGTTTTATCAATTTTTATTTGCATTTAAATCGCTAAGAAATTATCTATAAAATGTTTCAATCCCATATATCAAATACTAATAAATATATTAAATAAAATTAAAATTTTTAATTTTAAAATAGAAATTTTAAAGTAAAACAAACTTCAGTATATTTGTGATGCAAAAAAATGACTTAATATTTAAATATGCATCACAGTAGAAAAAATATAAGTCAAAAAGTACTACCAGCTTCTATTATTATTAAAAACTCTGTGATTCGTTTATATCACATAATATTTCTCGTTTGTTGCTGATTCCATAACGATTACATGTTTTGCGTGCATTGTTTTCTATGTTTGACGATTTTATTGAATTGCTTGATACTTTGATGGATAAAAGATAATAAAGTTTTCATTATAATACAACCTATATTAATTGCAATAGAGAACAGTTTGCTATCATACATTTATAAAAGTTATATCAGAAAAAACTAACGCTTAGTAATAATTTTTGAATGATAAGCGAGAGATGAAACAAAAGTTACACAATAATAAGTTAAAAAAAAATTTTCACGAATTTTCAATCTTTGATAAATTATTAGTTTGTATTTTCAACATTTTATATATGATATTATAAAAGATAATTTTATACTGTATGAGAATGCTTTTATGCTGTATGAGAATTGCTCATATATAATCACTGTCAAAAATCGTTATAAAGTTTTTTCGAATTTAATTACATATAAAAGAAACTTATAAACTTATAACCTATCACAAGTAATTTCTAGACTTTTATGATAAAAAACACTCAAAACTCTCAAAAGTCAAAAAAGACTAAAACCTTATTTTCTTGTGTGAGATCAAAAAATATATTCACTTGACGGAAAAGAGAAAGTATGGCACTCGCTGGAGATCATAACGAGAAATTCGCGGATATTGAATTAACAGTTACAATCTTCATACATTGTATAAAATGTCCGCGATTCATCTTTTATTCAAAGGCACAAATTTGCTGCTGCGAATGAGCAAACGTGACGGCAGGGCTTTTACGTGAACTAACAAAAGGGATCGACTGTGCGACGACGGTTAAGTAGTATTACAGACTGACATGGTTAAGTAGTATTACAGACTGACATGGAAAATTATAAATTACGTATTTTAGTACAAAAATTGATATCTCAAAATGTCCAAATTAAGATAATGCAAGATAAAATGATTAACACAAGTATAATAATATAATTCCTAGTATATTAAATTTTTATTTAAGACTATTTAATTAATTAATTTTCTTAATTAAAGTAAGATTTCAAAAGTCAATTCTATGAAGTTAGCTAAAAATTAATATCATTAATTAATTTTTTGCATCAATATTAATTCACGTATGTTTACCTTAAATGCCAACTTTTCTGTAAGAAATAAGCTCGAATAAAATAAAATAATGAAATAAGCCATAACTAAAAAACTTATTAAAAAACTTATTAAAAAACTAAGCTCCTGCATAATTATTTCGATATGTAAATTGCTTGTGCGATTAACGAAGAAATCTAAATCATACGCTCGCAAGTAGGTGAGAAAACTCGCAGCTATCTTTGATGCAAAAAATTCGCGAGAAAGGAATTCGTCAGGCAAATAGAAAAGATTAGAAGAAAACGGATTATTCATGGTGGATTGTTGCCATAGGGCGCGGAGAAAGAATGAAATGAAGCGTCGGTGGAAAGCATCATTGCTTTATTCCACGCCACTGAGAATAAATAAATCTTCTCTCATCGTTAAAATTCGATCGTAAAGAGGGGATTGCTATATCGCATCTTGCCATCGCGTAACAGCTTCTCCTAAAATATGTTTTCGATATCGAAATGTCGGTGATTCGCATTTTATGTCGCCCCTCGCCAATTGCGTCTAAACTGAATTCGATTAATCCGCGAATTCAAGCACGCGCAAAAATATTCGCGAACAAATTATGCTCTGTATATGTGCAATAAAAATAATAATAAAATATTAAATAATAAAAGAAATAATAATAATAATAATAAAATACCAAATAATAAATTTGGCATATACAGTTATTACAATAACGCGTAAAAAACTTTGCATAATTATATATTGCTATTAATAGAATTTATTGTGCTAATAATAGAATTTAAACGATAGGAGAGGAGAAAAAAATGTACGTTATATATATTTTATATTCCGATTGTAAAAAAGATATCTTCAACAGTTACACATCTAAAATACATTTCAAGAGCCTCGAAAAGATCTATACACATATAGAGATCGCGATTACGTGAATGGTTCTACAAGTATCCTATTTACAGTCCAGAAAAGTAGCAGAAAGCATTCCATCGCGAAATAGAACCATCACTTTTCGACCAAATACAAGTACGAAAAATTCATCGGAGAATAAATTTCACCTATCATATGTCACTATTATGTTCACTATTACACGTTAAATCAGAAAACGATACATCATATTTCGCAAGAATATTTCTAAGTAGCAACTTGTACAAAAAATACTAAATAAAAATGCTCGATAAACACACAAAAAAAATTTTGACAAAACACGATTTCTCTTGAATAATGTTCAACGTCATACAAGTGCACGGGTTTATTTGCGCGTTACACATGCACTGCTGCATACGTAACTGTGCGTGCACACATTTTGTAATTATAAACGACGTAATATCGAAATAAAAAAACGAGCAAACAATTCGCTTTACACACGTTCGCTTTGTACAATTGAAAGTGCAATTACATTTGATTTTTGAAAAAAAGAAACGCTTGTTAACTGGGCCCATATACGCAGGTAAATTATGATGACTTGCTCGCAACACTAACCACTCGCTTTTGCGTTTTAACGCGATAATTGCACCGCAAACGATCGTTTCTCATTTGCCCGCGATGCAGCAAACCGCTTCAGAAAAACAAACATCGTATTCGCCGACAACATTCCGTTATTCTCGCGGCATTATGGCCTCTATAACAGAGGCAGGGTACAAATCTCGTTGTAGCTGAATTGTTGACTGACAAAGTAATGTTGCATTAGTCAATCGGAGCTCAACATCAGCGAACTATGTACAATGCAATGCTTACATTACTGATAATGTCTATTGTTAATAAAAATAGTAAAACTAATTAAATAATCGAAAAATTGTTATTTGTTATAGAAACATTTAAAAAATCTAAAAAAACTAATTATACAATAATATTCAATGTTGAATATGAATGAAATAGTGGGATTATAATTTATATTATTTATAATGTAGAAGAAAAGAATGAGAAAAAAAGAGGTAAATTTCGTTAACAAAAAAATCTCCGAAAAAACACGTCTACATTTACACGCTTACACTTGCATTTACGTCTTGCGTCTAAATCTATTGTTGCAGACCAGCCATTATCGGGATGTTTTGTACGTTTGTCTGTGAGAGCACCTGCGGCGATAATAATCATATCTTGCGTGTGCGTCTGATAATGCTTTGGTCTGTAATTGCATCTGGCAACGATCGATTCCTATAACGCACCCATAATATCGCATCATTACGTCATTATCGTAACCACCAAGGTGCAACATATTATATTGATGGTTAGGTTTCAACCTAAATGTCACACACATTCCAATGGTTAAAAGATGATGATAAAAATTAAATTTCTTTATAAACACATTATTGACATATATTACAAGTCAAGAGAGATAAATGATATTTCGAATTAAATATCGCGAAACGCAAGATTTTTCGTCAATAATGCTAC